GGTATGGTAAATTACTAACCGGGAAATGAGGATTGTATGTTGTTATTATTATTATTATTAATATTATTATTATTGTTATTGTTATTGTTATTGTTATTATTGTTATTATTATTATTGTTATTAGTATTGTTATTATTATTACTGTTATTATTATTATTATTATTATTATTATTATTATAATTCCAACACAATGGCGTGCATTTCAATTCTTGAGTATGTATTATACTTTCTTATGGAGATTCAAATGTAAAATTTGTAGTAAATTTCTAAAACATAAATAACATTTTTTACCTTCACAGTATTGTCTAAAATTTTTCTGTGGGGTGGGGAAGATTTTTCAAAGATAGATATTTTCTCCTTGTCCCCCAGTGGTTACGCCACCTGTATTTTCATAAGTGAGAAGTTTATTAAATTTAAAAAATTTTTTAAAAATAAACATTTCCAGAAGCCATCAAAGTTAAAAATTTTCAATTCATCATACACACGAGATACTTCAAAGAATAACATGGTATTGTGATATTATTTAGTTATAAGAAGAAATGAAAAATAATGATAATATGGTAGCACATGATACTGGATAAATGATAATTGTTACCTGGAAAATAAAAAACATTTCTAGAAACCACCCAATTGCATAATTAAGAAAAGATATTATGTTTTGCATTTGGAGTACTAAATGTTTATGCCTAGCTAGGTTACACCCAGTCTATAACTTATAATACAAAAAAGAATAAAATAATAGTTGTGATACAAAAACTGTTCTCACAAAAACTGTTCTCACCAGGGTTCTCACCATGCCGGACGGCGCCGGTCAGGCCCGTCCGGCACTCAAGATTTCCGACCGGCACTAACAGGCTGCCGACCGGCACAAACTGGTAGCCTAAGTCTAAACAATCCAACCAGTACATTTGTTTTTTTGGACAAATAATTGCTAGCCTAGCTTAGACAAAATACCTTTATGAAAACATTGTTATGATAATAATGAGTCGAAATCCGGTCTATTTTCTAACATAATTAAACAATTGATGATCTCAACACATCGTTAATTTTCATAAACAATGATCGACAGGGCGAACAAAATACGTAGCAAAGCCTAGTCACGCATCGCTGAATCCAGTACCTGTTGTCAGCCAGCCAGCGAAATCTACACTGCTGATAGCTAATTTATTTACAGATTAAAACAAAAAGAATCATTTAACTACAATAGGCCGCTATTTCTTATACGAATACATAGTAAGAGAGTGTTCCAACATGAATGTTATGCTGTGGTTAATATTTTACCTCTTATTTTATTTTCGACAAAGTGGATTGCAGTGCAAACTGGGTTTCAACAAACTGGGATTCGTAGTTTTTGTTTCATCAAACTGGGGATATGTAGTTTTTGATTCCGCAAACTGGCATTCAGCAAACTGTGTTTTGGTAAAGTGAACTCGAAAATCTTGCAGTCGGCAACCCAATCTAGCCTAGAACTGCCAAGAAGAAGCCGACACGAAAGTCTTCCTGTATGCAAAGCATGCTTTAACGAATAACAACCAAGGCATAGCAATCATTCGTTACAGACGATAACAACCCGGCTTTCTTTCGTATAGGAAAACGTAGCTTCTGTAATCATAAACTGAGTTTGTTGAAACTTTCAGCAAATTTGTCTGAAGAACAAGAATATGTCTCACTACTACTTGGAGTTAAGGGGAAATGTGTAAATCAAGCAAGCAACATGTTCAGTAGAAAGTTTTCCAGAGACAAGATCACTGACATATCATTGCTGCCACCATGTTAGCAGAATCTCGAGCTTCAGATACTTTACCAAATTTAATCGTTAAAGAATGAAAATAAGCAGAGGTAAATGACTGTCAATAAAAACAGTTGATGAAACAGATGGAATGAACAAATTCCTGTGTAAGTCCCAGAATTGTTCATAGGTCTGCCTGTACGATAAATACGAAGACTTTCAGATTGCAGTGATAAAAGCGATACCTGAAGATTATTGCTCAACATAGGGCTACACTGTTAAACAAGGAAAGGAAAAATATGTAGTAAATGAATTGATGCCTTCTTCATACATGAAATTTATGGTAGTTGTCTGAAATACTTTGTGTAGTACACAAAAATAATGAAAACATTTGTAAGGAAGATGGATTTTTTTTAGGATTCTGGTGATATTTTCCAGAAAAGGGCTAATATAAGAGGGCATTTTTACTTACTTTTCCAAAAGTGAGTTAGCTTTCCAACCTAATATATGTTATTTTGGGTTTAAAAAATCAACAGCAGTTATTACATTCATGTTGTGTAAATTAAACAAATTTATTTAGAGTATTAAAGCTGCTCTTAAGTTGTTCTTTAATTTTGGCGGCCATTTTAAAAAGCGCCCTCAATTGACTCCCGAAATCTTCACATTAATAACTTTAGCTAGTTATACTTTACTCCTATCATTACATATTCAAAAGTTGGTCAAACCTACTGATTATTTTACCCATATATATGTAGTTTATTAGATTTTGGCGGCCATTTTTTAAAAAGCGCCCTCAAGTGAAAGTTCTCAGATTACACCCCTTTTACCTCACATATTCTGATTCCCCATAACAAACTGGTATAGAAAAAAACCATATGGGAATTTCTACCTCTGCAAGTGGCACCTATCTCAATTAGAGCCTGGTCTATATAATCACCCATCCAATTCAGAAATCGAAAATTTCAACTCTTCAGTACCGTTGGGGATAAGCAAAAGAAAGGAAAGAGATATATGTGAAGTGTTGTCTTTTTAAATGTGAAAAAGAAAATTTACATGCCCCCGACTACCACTGATACTGTACTATGTGTGGCTGTTTAAAGTGTGATGTAAAGTGTCATGTATGGCCTAGCCAAGATAGCTTAATATTTTCTGAATAAGAATATGGCATTAGTCATTTATCATTTATATAATATATAATACTGTATTTAACTTTTTAAATGTGATTGAATGATTGGAAAATTATACACAAAGAAGTAAAGAACATTACCACAAAATCTTTATTGAAGGAATATCAGTTGTATACTGGCTATTGCTTTGCTTTTGAAGACAAAACATACATATTTTCAAGTGTCTTCAACTTTGATGTTTGTTATGTGCCATTTTACAAACTCTAATTTTCTTTCTTTCTTTTCCCCTGTTTTTTATTTCCATGTACATTATTTGTGTGGGGTTTTTTCTACTGCTTTCTTTTCTGTTTCAACCAATTAACCTGGTCTTGCATAGAGACAAATGTAATATTTGCTATACAAGTGTACAGCTATTGAACATATATTAAGTCCATGGGTTTCATTTGACTTCTTATATATGATTTGTTTGTTTAGGTAGTCAGATGTTGAATACTGTTTCAGTTTATTAGAGCAACATGGACGGGGCAGCTTAAGCAAACAAATCACTGTACCTTTTTCAAGTCAGCTGCCCCATGTATACTCGCGTATAAGACAATGGCTTAAAATAGCAAATCACGATTGAAAAACAGGGGGTCGTCTTACATGTGAATATCCTACTGCAATGAAGATAAATGTTAGCATGAATGAACACAATTTTAAATAATTTCAAAGATGATTTTGATGAACATAATAAAAGCCCATGAAATGGTATTATTTTTGAAGGTTAGACCTACATTTGGCTCCGTTTTTAGCCAACTAGATGCAGTATCAAGACTGTAAAAAGCAGCAAAAAGTATGAATTCCAAAGGTGAAATGAGATCGTTTTGTACGCCCCACATACAAAAATCTTCTCAAACTCTGAAGTTGTCTTATACGCAGGTCGCCTTATACATTAGTATATGTAGTGTGCTTCTTTTTGATGCCGGTTGATTTTATGACAATTATTATAGTAGCTGTCAATCAGTTTTGTCTTGATCTTTGAATTATTTACTTTACAGATTTAACAATGCAAGTTAAAACTAGCGATCAACAAGTTAGGATGAATACACAGACTCCAATCAACAAGGTGCTCATGGGAAGGGTATGTATGCAAATCAAAATTAGATGACCGTTAATATATTGAGGGCTTCCAATGATATTACTGTAGTAATATTGGGTATACTGTTTCTTGCCATTTTTGGGTAAATTACCACATAAGTACATTAGAATGTAGCATAAACCTTCTAGGCATTTTGACAGCATGAAAATTAAACAAAATGGTTCGTTTAACAAATTTCTCAATTAAAATAAATATACATATGTATCTAAAACCAAGTCTCTCCGGTCAGTAGTCAAGGAGTTATGGAAAGCCTGTGAAAATATGTTTAAAAAAATAGTGGCATTTGGTATGTTTGGATGTTAAAAGGAGCTGTTGTTTCCCATCTTTACCTTTTCATCACATGTTTTATCATATAATCATGAATCAGTATTACACTATTATTTACTTTTAAGTTGCTATTGGTATTTTATAATTCTCAGGTTCCAGATAGAGGAGGTCGTCCACAAGAGGCTACACCCCCTCCTCCAGAGATGCCTGCATTCAGAAAGCGGCAAGAAGGAGACAGGGTGCAAGGGGGTGAGTAATTTGTAGTGGTGTTTATTTGCTTTTTGAGATTGGATTACTATGTCTCACTAGTTGTGGTACCCTTCCCTTCCATCCTAAGCATTCGTAATTGAGAAAGTTTATAATTTAGAGAGTTTGAATTTTCATGTAGCATCTCGGTGCTGAGTTATGCTGTATAGAGCTAAGCCTTGCAACTTAGTCAAGCTCCCAGGGCAACTTTTTGTCAAAAAAAGGGACTGACTTTTCAATATTTTCTACAACAGAATGATACACTGTACTGTACATAAAGGAACATTATCTGAAGGTAAATTTTGAAGAAAACAATATCATTAAAATGAAAATCAAAATTGATCGTAACATTTTGCAATACCACCACCAGCGAGCCTTGATCTTCCTACTCTTATCTTATCATGTGCTACCTAATTATGATCAGCTCTGATCGGAATAGGTCTGCCTTAAACAATTTTTGTTGCTTTAACGAAAGTTTTATGTAGATTTATTGGTTTAAACATTTTCTTGTCCGATTTAACATTTTTAATTACTGTATTTTCAAGGATTTTTAAATGCAATTTTAAATGTTTTATTAGTTTTGTTTTATTTATACCAGGGAGTTGTTATAGTTACAACAACTCCCTGTTTATACATTTATTCTTTCTTAATTCTGAAATACACTTTCAATACAACGTACTGGTTTCCAAAGCAGTTCAGTTAAATACAAAAAGTAACAAAACATAATTAATAAAAGTACCTTAACCATGGTAAAAATACAAATTTCCATTGTAGAACTTAAGTACACATTGTACATAGAAAGCATAATAGGCCTATAATCAATAAAAGTAACTTGCACTAATGAATGTAAAAACAATTTCATTTCAAAATCAATGTAAACTTATGAACGAAAGAACAGTTAAATATGAAGTAAACATTATGAGATATAAGAAGTAAAATGTAATACAGCACTTCAGTACAGTAAAAGAGAAACTTAATTGTAAACTTCATGTTAGGGTAAAAGAAGATTTATTAAATTATTTAAATTTTATAATTAAATGAAAAATAAGCTGATGTGGCATTTCTGTCAAGTTTTTAGTTACTTTATTTTACTTACTGAAGATGACTGTGTGATACAGCTGAAACATGTTTATTAAATCTTGGTTTATTGCTTTTAAATTTGTAATTGTTTATTATATCCTGTCGATCATTCGGATCTATTATTCATGATTTGAGTTACAACAGTTATGTTAAGACGAATGTAGAAGACTGGAAAAACTTTTTTAAAAATGCAGAAAAGCTGATGCTGATGTTAATTTCTTGAATAATTGTAAAACTTCCAGTGTTTTCCCCAAGTCTATTATTAATATCATTTTTATCCTAAATATTAGTATTATTTTCATTATCAATATTATTATTAATCTATTTGCCTATGTAGGCCCTTTTATTGGTTAGTATATTGACGGCTGTTGACGCTAATTGTATGACGGTTGTTGACAGTAATTAGTATTACTGTACACACATACTAAATACCGTCAATAAATGTCAACAATGCCTGTTGACGGCAAGGTCGTCTATCCGTGGCTGAAAGTGGGGGGGACGAGATGAAAAATAAAGCCTTGGGCCGTAGGCCCAAGCAATGGTTGGGGACCAGGGGGCAAAGCCCCGGAAGCTCTAGCGCATATAGACTTTTAATTGATTTTAAGCAATGCAATTAACATTTATTTCCATACGAAATTTTTAAATTATCCAGTGGCGGATCCAGTAATTTGAAATAGAGCGGGGCCCATAGAGGGACTTTTACAGATAGAGAGTGTAGCTGGACTACCATCTCAGCCCCACCATGGTTGGGGCTGAGGTAAGAAAATTTATGATTATGGCACCTCCATTTGGTCGGAAATGGCAATCTCAGACTGAATTTGAATATAATTTTAATTTTTCTCCACTTTTAAATTTCGAAAAAAAAAAAAAAAAAATAGTGATGGTGGGCCGGCTGGGCCCCTTGAATCTGCCACCGAAATACTCATCATAAAAAGTTTTTAAAATTATCCCTTTTAGTCATAATTATGCCCGCTTATACATTTCGTGCAAACTAACATTCATAAAAATAATGATTTATTATCTACTGATTAGCTTGTAACGTATTCAAAATTCTAACTATGAAAAACAAATAAGATAAACTTAAAACAGACATTAATTTAGTCTTTTTTCATGTACAGTACTTTTAAAGTCAATCAAGAGGTTTTTGCTTTTCTCCTCTTTTTGAATTTCACTTTTGTGTAAGTAATATTGCGATAAATTATTGTGAATGGAAATAATACCGTCTAATTTGCGATCAAACAGGACTAGGGAGATAGGGAGCACACAAAACATTAGTTAGCATTTCACAAACATAAAGGTCATTTACTTAATTTATCATTTTCAGTGTCGGCTCCAGGAAAGCAAATTAGAGGGGGGACAGGGAGGGACTTGCACATTGGAAAAGTAAATCATCTCATCCCCACTATGGTTGGGGCTGAGGAAAGAAAATTTATGATTATGACACCTCTAGATTGCCGGAAATGGCACTCTCTGACCTAAATTCTAATTTTAATTTTCCTTTATTTTTTTTCTATTTTTTAAAAATAATTTTGAAAATATTAGGGCCGGCTCGGCCCCACTTGAATCTGCCACTGATTATTATGGCGTCATTGCGAGACTGCGTCAACGTAACACTGGAGTTTGTAAACTTTTGGTAGGTTTATCACTTAATCGAAATAGGTAGACATCATATCTGTGAAATTAGAAAAAACAGTAATCCTATGTATGTAGATAATATTAAACATTAGTATATACATACGGGTCATAATAATATACAAAAAGAATAAATTGTTTATATTAGAAATTGTGCACTTTTGAGTTTGTAAAAATATTGGCCTAATAAGGATACATGCTTCCAATTTCAACAACGTTCAGTACATTGTTTTCACAATAAATTTAGCCTCTGATAGTCGTTGCCTAGTGGGTTTCTGAGATGGTTACAAAATGTTTAAACAATTGCGTTTTTACTTGGTTTTGGTCCGGAAAATACGTACCGCACTTAGAAAAGTGAACAGACAAAATTCATGAGTCATGCGTAATTGTTGTTCTTTCCATTCGCTTGTAAAAGTGGGGTTTTAATTATTGAAGATTGATGAAAAGTGGGGGGTTGACAATCGATATGATGCCCCCCCCCCCACTTTGGAAAGTGGGCGGGGGGGGGGCGCATCCCCCTGTCCCCACCAATCAATGCCCATGGTTGACGGTATAACAGTACATGCTTGTTGATGGTTGTTGACAGTATATTATAGTATGACCCGAGGTGTTATTGTATGTTGATAATAGCAAAAAAATGGTAGTGTAAGATATTTAGCTGACATGATGGTATGCAATATCATGTGATGTATCTAGTACTATAGTATAGTACATACTCTAAGTATCGAAATGCACGCCATTGTCGGGATTCAATATATTGACATTAATTATGTCATCAGGAATGAATGATGATGACATAATTAATGTCGAAAAATTGAATCCCGACACAATAGCATGCATTGCGATACTTTGAGTATGTATTATACTATCTTATCTGAGATTAATCAGTGGACCTTTCGATGTCTAGTACTGTATGTAGATAATTTACAAAATATGAATTACATCCTAATTATTTCTGTTGCAGGTGGAAGGGGACAACGTGGACGAGGAGGGGCAGGGAAGGTACAAGGTGGTAAGTGGATGCATTTAGCAAGACTGGATTTGAAGTTTGATTCAAATTCTCAATTACTGGATTCTTCTTGTTAATTCAATAATATTTTTCTTGCCCTTCCCAAATAATCGAAGCTTGGAAGAACTTTAAAATTCGAACCTATGATGATGACACTCCTATACAGGTAATTCTTCTCTCAGCCTCTTGTACAATTCTTTGTTTCTATCTAGACTCGACTACAGCTGCTCTGTCTACCATTGAATTTTTATTTAACAGTGTTAACGGCTAATTCCCTTCAATATCATATATGATATACGACAGTATTTCTAGCCGTATTGCCAGATTTATCTGGCCGAACGCCCTCTTGAGGCAGCGAGACTCAGGTCTCGCTGCCTAGGACTAGGTCCCTAGGCTAGGAGAGGTCCGGAGATGCCAGCACTTTAGGACTAGGCCTAGGCCTAGCCAAGTACGCTAGGCGAATGGCGCTAGGCTAGGCTTAGGTTTGGTCAGCTCCCTGGTCTGCCCTAGACCTAGCAAAAATACAAATTTTAACATGTTAATTTTGTGTGTATGTGTTTTCGGCCAACTGATTTAGATGGATTCTAGCTGATCTAGCTAGCCTATCTTACCTAGGCCTACCTGTCCTTCAAGCACTAAGCCTAGCCTAGCCTAATTAAATTAGCCAAGCCCTTGCCCGGGAAGTATGGAATAGTTAGTGGTTGCCTATTTGGCTAGGGCCTATCGTAGGCCATAAGTTCTATACAGTGGCGTAGAAAAGTTTTTTTCATTGGGGGATGAAAAACTGCCCCTCCCCTGATGGTTTTTACCGGGCTGACCAAGCCGTCGTACCGGGCTGGGTAATAAGAGAAAAGAAAGAGGGGAGAGGGAGGGAAAGAGAAAGAAGAAAAAAAGAAAAGGAAAGAAAAAGAGAAGAGAAAAATAAAGACAAGAATAAAAAGGAAGATATCATAATGACCAGACTCACAACACCCTGCAACCAATTGTCATAACTCCTTTGATCTATGCTGCCAGATGGCTTAAAGGGGAAGTGCGGGGATGAGACAAGTGGCCATATATTGCTTATTTAACCTTTCCTGAGTTCGGGAAAAATACTTAAAAAATTCAAAACGTTGAGATGTAACGATAATTAGAGAAATAAAACATGATGTGATGAGACGGAAAAATCAGGTGAAAACGAGGCTGATCACTTTTTTCAGTAGCTTGGTAGCATTTTCTAACCAACTCATTAATATTCAAGACCAGTCTGTCAATTTTGGCGAGCAGCTGATCGAAAAATCGTCCCGACGATCGAGCAACTGGCCTAGACAATACATAACAGTTACAGTGCGAAGTTTTTTTGATCGTTTACGTACGCAGTTACAGAGAGACGGTTTAGTCAACGTAAATTCAATCATGGAGGAATAATTCAATTGAATTAATAAACGTATATCAGTCCGATGACTTGTTTGTTTATAATTAGGCCTAGGATTAGCACAGTCAGTGTCTCCCCAGCAGCAATAGCGCACTCCTGACCAGGACACTGCTCCAGTCCCGCAGCAGGTGAGTTCGCACGCAGCCTTATCCAGCTGACGGTAAAGTTAGTAGG